TGAGAAGGGACCCCCTAGTGGGGGTGACCGTGCCACAGTACCTTCCTTAGCTCTCCTCGTGGATTCTGGGCCCCCCCCCCACACACACACACACACACGACATCTAAGGAGCTGACCTTCTATCTGACTGTAGGGTAAATGTCGAAGGCCTCTTGAAGACTCAGGAAATCAATTTCACATCCGCTAATAATCTGAACTCATTCTCAAAACTGAAATTCATTTACTCTGTCATGAGAGTTCCTTAGTTCTGTTCAATTCTGAAAGAAATTGGCCTTGGAAAAAACCGGATATCCTTCATTTGTGATTCTTCATTTGGTCGATGCCTTGTGAGTCGGCCAAGATGTAGACCTTCTTTCTGCTCACTTCCCCGGCTCCTTAAGGTCAACGCGAACACTTACTATTTCTTTATCTCTTTCACTTTTTGTATCTTCTACCACAATAGATGTTGGGAGTGTTTTTCTAAATATTTTTAAGCACTGAATATTGAACAAGCACTCACATTGAAGTATGTGTTGGTCACGTTTTATATATTTTTCAAAGATAAAAATTATTTAAAATTTCTTTTGACTTGATTACATATGCACATATATATATGTAAATGTAAAATACTAATATTCACCAAAGTATGTACATAATGACCAGTTGGTTTAACTTTACTTTTGTAAAAAGTTATGTTAATATTGGAAATAAACACTTGTTTCTGGCTATCGATGTTGATTTGCTTGTTTTAAGTGTATCTCGCAGCAGCCTGCATCTTCCATGGTCCAGTTTGGGTCAAAACTTTCTTTTTAACAACACTGCATTGGTTATGGCAGTAAAGATGGATGTCAAAGACTGAAAACACATACAGAACTAGAGGTAATAAAATTATGTTCTTGGAAATACTCATTTTATTGTGGACTGTTTCTTTAATGTATTATGAGGAATAATTTAAAATAAAATGGTCCTATTTTTCAAGTAAGTTTAACAAACATTACATTCTAAAGATCCCTTTTATAGAATTGTGTCTTGACCATTTAAAGCTTTATCCATTTTCTTTTTCAATTATTTAGAAATTTTTTTCTTCTCCTAGTTACAGGACACTGTAACATCTTGATGGAACTTTGAGTAGGGGGAGAAACTAAAAACATGGGACCAGCAGTTGGCATAATGGCTATGTTGCTGGACTCCCATGCAGTTGACAGTGGTTTGAGTCCTGGACCCAGTAGCTTGAACTCACGCTGGGCATGTGTGCATGAGTGCCCAGGATCCTGAGAGGAGAATGGAGGAGAAGGGATTGCGGCGCAGCCATTCCCCGGGGGTGATTTCTCGCTTTCTGTCTCTCTGTTTCTTTCTGTCTTTCTGGTGAGTGCACACACCATATAGCAATAGCAAAAATCTCTCAAAAACCCAAACAAACAAAAAAACTAAAAACTCAAAGATTCACACGAGAATGTCTGCTTTTCCTTCCAGAGTTATACTAGTTTAGCAAAATCATCAGGTTTTAGAGATTTGATTTAAGTTTTACAAATTTCATAATGCCCTTGTTGCATTTATTATGTGTTCTGTCCTTCAGAGCTCAACTCTTAACTCTTTCTACACATTATTTAATATATGACCAAGTTTTGTCAGCAAAACTAAAAACTCAAAGATGCAAACGAGAATGTCTGCTTTTCCTTCCAGAGTTATACTAGTTTAGCAAAATCATCAGGTTTTAGAGATTTGATTTAAGTTTTACAAATTTCATAATGCCCTTGTTGCATTTATTATGTGTTCTGTCCTTCAGAGCTCAACTCTTAACTCTTTCTACACATTATTTAATATATGACCAAGTTTTGTCAGCAGTCATTTATCAGATTCTTCAGAAGGTGGGCTTTTAAAAGTACAGAGAGAAAAAATATGAAGTCTTTGGAGTGCACTGCCTGTCCTGCTTAGGGCCAGGAAAATCTAGCCTAGTTTAAATTTCATAGTTACATATGAGAGAATCTAAGTCTTCCCAGGCTCTTCTGAGAGTTCTCTCTGCTTTCTCAGCTAACCCAGGAATGTGTTTCACTTTCACTTAATTGCCTTTCCCCCAGGGAGGGGAAAATATCTTTACATGGCTCCAACGCCATGGTTTTTGTTTGTTCATTTTTGTTTTTTATTGTGGGGAAGAGATATTATAAATAAAGACCACCAGGTATTGCAGAAGAAAGAATAACCAACAGTTTTGACTCGTTTAAACCCATAAAGCGTGTATTTTCTTTCCTTAGATTTGTCGAGAAAGTAAATGAGTATTCAGGCTCTGTTCTCTCTCCACGTTTTACACTGGAGAATTAAGTAAAGACTGCATTTTACTGTACTAAAGAGAGAGAGAGTGGGAAAGAGAATAAGTGGCCCAATGCTTCTGGAAAGACAGGCCTTTTCTCCTCCTGTGAGGCAGCATCTGGATGTACCACAGTGGTTAACAGCACAGATTCTAGACCCACTCCCTAGACTCAAATCCTGGCCCTGCCACATCCTTGCTGTATGACGGGGGCATATTATTTAACCTAGCCTCCCTGTGCCTTGGTTTCCTCATCTTTAAAGTAGGGGTGATGGTATAGCAGTACACGTCTCAGAAAGCTGTGCAAAGTAAATGACTAGAGCACACAGAGCAGCACCTGGCACGGGCGGAATGTTTTGTTCCTGGCCGTTCTGATTCTGTAATTCTTTGACTAAGGGAACTGTTAGTGACCCAAGCAGGTGAATAGTTATTGGGTTCAGTAAAAGGATAAAGACGTTTTCTTCTCTTGATAGTCTTCAATAAAATGGAATTTAAGGGGCACCAGCGATTGGCATGATGGCTATGTTGCTGGACTCCCATGTCGTCAACCACGCTTCAAGTCCTGGACCTGGTGGCTTAAACTCATGCTGGGCACATGTGCGTGTGTGCCCAAGATCCCGAGAGGAGAATGGAAGAGAAGGGATTTTGATGTTGCCATCCCCGCTGCGGGATGATTTCTTGCTTTCTGTCTCTCTGTCTCTCTCTCTGTTTCTGGCAAGCGCACACCCCTATAGCAAAAATCTCTTAAAAAAAAATGGAATTTATGGGAACCAGCAGTTAGCATAATGGCTATGTTGCTGGACTCCCACGTAGTCGACCGCGGTTCACATCCCGGACCTGGTGGCTTAAAACTCACACCAGGCACGTGTGCATGCGTGCCCAAGATCCCGAAAGGAGAATGGAGAAGAAGGGATTGCAGCGTGACCATTGCCCCTGGGGGGTGATTTCTCACTTTCTGCCTCTCTGTCTCTCTCTGTCTGGCTGGCGAGCGCACACGCCCTATAACGAAAAAACCTCTCCAAAAAAAAAAAATGGAATTTAAAAAATAACCAAGACCCCATCTTCTATGAATATTAGAACTTCCTGTCTCCTACAACAATAGAGCTCTTTTCATATTTCCATTCCTTCATACCTCCAAACATGTTTTGAAGAGAAATGCAGTGCTTCACCAAAAACAGGTCAGCAAAACACTTCCGTTTGACGTGGCAGGTGCTTTCTCCTGTATCTTTCTCAAGCTGAATCATAAAGTCCTAAAAAGAGTGCTAGAGAATAGCAGAAGCTGAGTCACAGACATAAAGAGAGGGGATCATTGGCCTAGCTGCTCTCCTGCCTGATTCCCTAAAGCCCCTCCTCGCTCTCCCACACATGAGCGGTATGAGGGCCGTGCCAAGTGTGGGGGGAATGCTGGCTTTTTCCTTCAGACAAGGGGCTCCAGTTCCAACAAGGGATGCTGGAGAGTTGGCTTTACCTGATCCTAGGATGCTTACATGACAAACTCTGCAAGATGACTCTGGCAAAAAGACACTGTGGCAAATCTGCAAATGTCACACATGAATGTCATTTAGTGTACAAAATGAAAGAACCAAGCACAGAGACAACAGATTCCTCAGGGGCTGAAGGCAGAAATCTCTTAAGGTTATTTTAACATACATAGTGATTATGCTCAATTAGCCACATACCAAGTCTTATAGCCAGAGCCAAACCATAGAGCATAAGTGGTGACAATGTCACCAGAAATGTCCTGAATGAGAAGGAGCTAATCTAGAATGCAGTGGTGTCTGGGATAATATGAGTTAGAAAAAAAAATTTTTTTTTTTGGAGAAGTTTTTGCTATAGGGCACATGCACTCACCAGAAAGACAGAGAGAGACAGAGACAGAAAGTGAGAAATCAACTCCCAGGGGGGATGGCCATGCCACAGTCCCTTCTCATCCATTCTCCTTTTGAAGTCAATCATTTAAAAATGTTTGAACTGTGACATCTCAGGAATAAGTTTATACCTTTCAAGATAATGATTTGGAAAGAGAACAGTACCTTTTTCCCGTCCTTTCCTTTATTTTTTAATTATTTTTTTGAAAGAAGTCATTTTATTTACTATTATTATTTTTCAATTTGACCAAAGAGAGATAGAAAGAGAAAGAGAGAGGGAGAGTAAGAAAGCAAGCTGTCAGATCTGGGACTTGAACTGCAGTTAACGCTGTGGGAATCTAATGCCTTAACTACTACGCCACCTGCTAGCCCCCTATTCATGCCTTTATACTTATTTTAAAACAATCCTAAAACTTTATAGTAAATGATATATGTACATATTTTTCAGACTTTGTAATATAAATTATCTTGACAGGGAACTACTGAAGGTCGTGTATAACTTTATAATAATAACACACAGTAACTGTTGTCTTTGTCTTTGTGTCTATTTTTTACCATCTCATTTGTTTCTACTCCTCTTTGAAATACGCAAAGTGTCTTTAATGGCAGCATGCAGTTTCTTCATCTGTGGTCAAGATGACATCATAGTTGGGGACCAGCAGTTAGCGTAATGGCTATGTCGTTAGACTCCCATGTAGTCGACTGCGGTTTGCGTCCCGGACCTGGTGGCTTAAAACTCACGCCGGGC